CCACAAAGTATTTTAATAATTGTTCGGCATAGTTAAGATTTTTTGACAACAAATTTGGGCTGAGCAATATTCGTAAAGCAACAGACAAATCAAGGAAATTTGAATAAACTGTGTCTTTTAGAACATTTTTTTAAGACCACAGGTCCAGTGTACAATTAAAGTCTTAATTCAGTAAAAGAGATCGTAGTTTTCGTGAAAACTCTCTGGGATGTGTTTATGAATAACAGCTAAGTTGTCAGATATCATGGATAATTGTAACTGAGATAGCTTACAATCCCCACGGGGTCCATGAATCCATTGAAACAGAATCCTACGCATAACACCTAAACACACAAGGTGCATATAATCTAACGGAAATTCTGTAACCATACCACAATCCAACTCCTCCAATGGTGAAGTACCTACATGATGCTCAGAATATAGACGCTCAGGAAAGATTAAGTTTGTAATTAGTGGTGCTGCTATAGAGTGAGGCTTAATACATTTAATAAAAGCCCTTGTTGGTGCATCACAAATTACAGCATCAATTTTCACTATGTAAGTTTTATTATTAAATAAAAAGCCATGTTGCTTTAAGCTCTTCATTTCTGAAACAAAGTCATTCAGATATTCATAAATAAAAGTAGGCTTTTTTGTACTACTATATATAGCAATAGGAAAAGTTCCGCGTAATGGACACTCTTTCAGTGAAACAAAAATTGGCCAAAAAGAAATAGAATTGCTGTTAAAAAGTGGTAAACCATCAATGTTAATATTAATATGTAAAGGTTTAACTTGAGAATTAGGGAGATTGAATTTAAAAATTTTTTGTATCCAATACTGCACCCCAAAATAATAATATTCTCCACCTGCAATATGCTTAATATCAATATTCCGACAAGAATTTTTAAAAGAGTTCTTGAATCAGTAGGAAGGTCAAGGTGTAATGGACTCAATATACGTAATAAATCTCCTAAAGCTGAATGAGATACACGATAGGTTATTGCCCAATCTTGCAATTTATTTCCTAATGTAAAGTCACCATTATTATAATTATCCTCGATATCGTCACTTAAGATGCTGTTCATCAGCTTCCAAATCACATCTACCATAACCAAATACAAAACACTTGATTTGTTTTTAATACTATCAAAGAGCATTTTTGAATACTTGGTTTGTGATTTATCAAAAGTAGTTAAATGTTCATTTCGATTTTTGTGTCTATTTTTATTCGGATCAAAACCTTTTTTTAAATTACTAAAGCTTATGTCCACAGTCCTTGAAGTAGTAGTAGGATTGTCTAGCAATACTTTCATATTTATCTTTCTGAAATAAATAATAATGTCAGTATATTTGAGACTCTTGAATTAATTCTTCTTCTTTTTGTTCTATCTGAACACGTTTTGAAATTAACGTTTAATGCTGCCATTATTATTTTTAATTATATTTAATATTTTCTGATAACAGCTATTTCTTAAATAATAAATATGTAAAGATAATATAAATAAAAAATTATAGTAAGCTAAGACATGCAACAATTATTAATGTTTCAGGTAACCATAATTTCTATCATCATCATAATTATCATCATATAATTTGTTGCATGATTCATCAGATAGATCTAATGAAACAATCAACAGATTACCTGATGAAACACGTACTTTCGCGTAATAAGTAAAACAATATAATTAACATACAATGATCATTATAGCAAGTACATAGGTTATGCAAAATAGTTTAAACTTTTTTTTATAATGTAATATTTTATTATGCGAAATATATTTTGTAAAATGAAATATGCTATAGCGTAAATAAAATTTAAATGTTTTTATAATTATATCAACACAGACCTTCCAACTCTCACGGTTTTATAACGAATCTCACAGTCTCATGGTTGATCCAAAATTCTTACGGTAAATTTTAAAAAATTTCCGAAAAATTTTTTTTTTAATTTACTCTCAATATTTTAGCCTAAAATAATAACAAGATATATTCTGAAAAAGTTTGTGATTACATCAAAAATTAATAAATATTAAGTGAACAAAACAGATCATACAACCGGCTCCGACTAAATTTAAACATGAACTTTTTTATATTATAAATCAAATCCGAATTTTTAAAATTAAAGTTATCTGAAATTGTTCTCATTATTCCCCACAGTAACGCTGAGTTAGAACGATTGTTTAGTATTGTAAAAAAAAAACAAATGTCTTGAGAGATTAGCATTAAAGTTGGATGGGACATTATCAAGTATTTTAGCTATGAAAACAATGTTTCCCGAGACTACTATACCGTTTTTTCAATGGAAACCATCTGAAAAGCTGTTAAAAACTTCAGAAAAAGCAACATAAATGTACAATGCTAAACATAATGAATAAATATTATTTATTTATAAAATATAACTTTTCATTCTTTTTTAATTTTTCTTGTTTGAAAAAAAGCCTTTTTTTTTAAATTTTACGCTTCTTAAGGTTTTTGTGTAAATCTCAAGGTTTTTTCTAATAAATCTCAAAGTTTTAAAAAATAAAGGTTGGAAGGTCTGTCAACATTTCAAATAAAACATACAAACATTTATCTAAACATTTTAAATAAATATCATAGATAAATCATATAATTAATATATGTATATATCATAGATAAATCTATAAATTAAAAACCCAAAATGTTCAAGTTGCTAATTTAAGTAAATTTTAATGTATCTCTGATGTTTGCGTAGAAATTCATGCTCACGATGGTTCGGGTAAACAACACGGGACTCACATTGAAACCAATGCTAAATCTTCGCTGAACCCAGGCTAGCCCAGATAAAAACGGCGCGGGACCCGAGTGTCATGGTTTGCTGGATATATATTATATATATATATATATATATATATATATATATATATATATATATATATATATATATATATATATATATATATATATATATATATATATATATATATATATATATATATATATATATATATATATGGGCGGCAAGTAAATTGCGACGGAAAATGTTTCTATTTTACACGTTGTAATATGTGGTTGTAAATTTAAATGAATATATAAAAAAATAACTTAAAAAAAAACAAAAAAACAATCTGAAATACCCATTAAAGGGGAACTAAGTACAACTCGTTTCTATTGGCGCCAGTGCCTGCCGAGAGAGGGGGGGTTACGAGGGACAGTGGGCGGCAGATATCCAAGGGGTGCCAAATAAAATAAAGGTACCTTAAAAAAGAAAAAAAAAAGTGTTTTAAGTATAATATAGTGAAAACTTGATAAATAAGGGTGCCAATTAGGATTGCTGTCCCAGGCGGCGAGACAGCTCTCGGCGGCACTGATTGGCGCCCAACATTTTCAGATTTTAATTTCAAACGAAATAAAGTTTCCATCAGGTCTTATTTTTAACTATTATTTAGTAGTTTAAACACAACCTGAGAAAAATAGATTCGCTTTAGTATTTGTTAAAAGGCAAAAATCATTAAGACTCTCCCACCCCTCCCCTAAAATATTTCTGGATCCACCCCTGATATACATGATGCTTCAATTGCATTGTCAGAAATTGAAGGATCATGAATTTGCACTTGAAGCGATAACACTAAAAAGTTTTATAATTATTTATATATAACATATGTTTATATTATTGTGGCTTGGAGGGGGGCGTCAAGGATAGTGAGACTCACCGGGAGATTTTACTTATTAAATGAAAAAATGATTATACTAATTTAATTATATAACCTTTAAATCACAAATAATTCAATTGAACAACAAATAAAATTACAAAGTTGTACTATTAAATAAAACCCAGCCTCTGAATGTAATACTAATAATTCCTACTAAGTTCTCACTTAAACCGACTAATCCAACCAAGCGCCAAAATTTTTGTTAAAAACTTAAGGTTTTTAATAATAAATGCAAAAGTATATTAAATGTAACGTTTTTACATTTAGAAAATTACATTTTCTAAACAACGATGCTTAGTTTAAACACATTTTTATTTTAAAGTTGTGTAACGTAAGTAAAAACAGTGGCGGGCCGTTAAAGCGAAAAATCATAAGATGCTGAAAGCGAATTTTTTTTTTCATTACACAACCTGGTTTTTATCTTTGTTTTTTAAAAAACGTTACATCGAAAAAAAAATTAATAATCAAAGAAATATTTTATCAACAATTTTATATTATTATTTTTACTACTTTAAATATATTAAAGTATATATAAAAAAAAAAATCGTTTTTATTAAAACTTTTTTGTAATAGTTATCTTTCGCTAATAGAAACTAAAAATTTTTGGATTGAACGTTTTTTGCTTAAACGACCAATTTTTTTATTTAGACATTAAAAAAAAAATCATTTATTATTCTCCTAATATAAAAAAATTCAGAACCTTTTTTTATTTTTGTTTTAGTAAAACAAATCGTTTGTTTGGGAGTCATCTACATTATATAATTGTCAGTTCTCAATACCTTCCCTCCTGTCACAAACGATCACATATACCCCTCTCCCTTCTAAACTGTGATAAACTAAGCAGTTTCAAGACAAAAATATTTTAAAAGAAGTACTTTGCAGCATTTTAAAAACTCAACCTATTGAAAATAATACGCATAAAAGTAAGAATAGTAAGTAAAAACTTCGACAAAGTAAAAACTTCGACAAAGATTTTCTTATTTAAATGACTCAAGTATGTTTTAATAAAGTTGAAATATTTAAATAATTTTTTAATGTTGCTCTTGGTTTTGGTGAAAAAATATTTTCAATTTGATAACTATCGTAAATTTTATGAAAAATCACTCAGGAAGAGTGCTATCAGTTTTTTAAAAATTTCTTTGTTATATATTTTTAATGAATAAGTTCAATACTTTTGCTTTTCTTTTGTTACGTAACTCTAACTCTTAATAATAGATTTAAAGAACCCGCGATAACAATCGCTCGGCAACGTAAGTGATGTAGCCGCAACGTAAGTGATGTAAGTTAAATATATATATATATAAATAAAACAAAGTTTATTTTCCTTAACCTGTCACCTCTGATAACTTTTAATATATTTTTTTAATTGGTACAGAAGTTTCAACATCTTCGAAAAGTTTCTAATACAAACCGCTTTACTGATTCGCCCTAAAAGTTGAGGCAATTTTTTTACCTTGTTTTCCGTGTAACGTAAGTTGATCTATATAAATATATATATATATATATATATATATATATATATATATATATATATATATATATATATATATATATATATATATATATATATATATATATATATATATATATATATATATATATATATATATATATATATATACATATATATATATATATATGTATATATATATATATATATGTATATATATATATATATATATATATATGTATATATATATATATATATATATATATATATATATATAATATATATATATATATATATATATATATATATATATATATATATATATATAATATATATATATATATATAATATATATATATATATATATATATATATATATATATATATATATATATATATATATATATATATATATATATATATATATATATATATATATATATATATATATATATACACATATATTAAGCTTATTTATTTTTTAACAGACGCTTAAGTATGACATAAGCAGCCCGGTTTTTGTCATTTATATCAAAACATTGAAATTAATTATTAATTTAATTTATATTTTAGTATTTATTTCCGATGGTTTTTATAAATTTCAAACGAATATTTTAGCTTTTAAAATCGCTTTTAAATTTATTTTATAAACATTTTAGCATAATAGTTTTTTTTAATGCTTACCCTACGGGAGTTTGTTTTTAAAAGTTACGCTCTAAATGTCTTTTAAACGTTTTTTAAACGTCTTTTAAATGTTCTCACGGAAGAATGTTTAGAAAACGTTTAATAGACATTTAGATTTAAATACATTTATAACTTTTAAAAACAAATGCCATCTGGTTATAGAAACCAGTACTTTTTATACGCTATTTTTTAATTTTATAAATAACTTTTAATCATAAATAAACTTTATAATTACTTACCATAAGTCAAAAAACTTATTGTAATAACTGTACAATGCTAAAAAATGTTTTTACAAAGGTGTCTAGCTATAAAAATAGCTGTTTCATGAAATAATTTCAAAAAATGTCCTAGCTACTTTTTGTGAATTCACATTAGGTAGCTAGGACATATTTCTTTTTGTCATACATATGAGCGTCAAAAAATTTGGAATATTCTTTTTGTTTAAAAATTGGAAACATTCAAAAACATTTCTACGCTACTGTAGATAGTAGTTTAAAAAATTACTAACTCTGTGTGAAAGGCTAAACTAAACTATTTAGGCTTTATCTACCATTTTGCTTTTCAACCTCTTCTTACCTTTCACTTATAACCTTTTAGGCGCTTCAGTAAATAAAGGTTTTGTTGCTTGCAATTTTTCAGTATTATGACATTGGAGTACATTTTTGAATTTCAGCCAGTTATGTGAAATTTAACTAAATTTCCCACAGGTTAAACTCGCGTAGCAAAGCCTTTGGTTTGACAGAAGACAATAATAAATGAGCCCAATAAAACCTTTGGTTAAATAAAAGTCACTCAAAGAAATGATGCGGTCTTTCCAACTGGTATAACAAGAACACTGAATTTCTGCAATTGTTTTTTGAAGAAACTAAAGATTAGAACAAAGAAACTAAAAGGCAGGTGCTTTAATATCACTTCAAAGTTGTATTATCAAACATTGTTAAACTCAAAATTGGTACTCAGATGGAAGAGTGATAACCAATTAAAAATAATTTCAATCAAAAAGAATTTTTGATTGGATTTTTTTTTCAAAACTTCTTTCTGATTGAAATGTTTTTTTGGATGAAAAAAGATTTCATCCAAAGAAATATCAGTAAAAGCTTTTATTAATAAACTAAACAAACAAGCATATACTTCTATATAGGAATTTTTAGTACTAAATAAACGTAATGACTGAGGATAAAAATCATTTCAAAATAAAAGTAAAACAAAATACAAGTTAAGCAGAGTGTATGTTTAAAACTTGTTTTTTCCAAAAAAGCAAGACAAAAAGTATAATATGCTATTGCGAAGTGTAGTTTTCCTTTGCAGAAACGAATCAATTTTTGCCCAATAATTGTTAGTATATAAGTTTAACAAGAAAGCTAAAAATAGTCTTTTCTTTAAAGTTTTTTCTTTTTAAACTTATAAATTAATAATCCTAAAACGTGACCGAAATTCCGTTTTCTGATTTAGAGAGAATTTTAATTGGTTTTGCCCAACTAAAATTAAGCCACGCTAGTCATATTATGCATTCGCGCAGATATTCAATGTATAAAAATGCTAAAAATTCCTTATCAAGTGGATTAAAATTTTTTTTTTGATTTACTATTCTAAGTTATTCAACTTTATTCGTTGAAATATTAGCAATATGTTGATTTGATTCATACCCATAACGCACTGATTTGATTTGATTTATAATAGTTATAAAAAGCGATATACTATAAGCATTAGTCACTACTCTCCGTGTAGAAAAATTCTTTTTTTCGAACTTTTGACAGATCAAAAGTTGTTTTGTACATGCCTCGTTTGACAGAACAAAAGTTGTTTTTCGAAAAAAAAAGAAAAAATTTTTTTTTTCGAAAAACAACTTTTGTTCTGTCAAACGAGGCATTTTCTAAAACATTCTTTAAGTTTTAGTAAGCTCAACTAATTTTGAAAATCATAGTAAATTAGGCGTCTTTATCATGCAGGTTTAAAGAAAATGAAACCTGTTATGTAATCAGTTGAGATTTAAAATAAAACCGAGGTTGTATACAAATCATTTGAAATTCGTTAGTTGCTTGTAAAGGTAGAATGACAGAAAAAAAAAACGAAATAAAAATAAAAAAAGATAATAAAAGGTTTCTGTATTCAATTAATTTAATCATTGGTGCAAGTTAATCTAAATAGTTAATGGCTTATTTAATGTAGGTTGAAGCATCAAGTTAAATGTGCGAAATATTATTGTTATTGAATCTTATATTTTAATATATATATATATATATATATATATATATATATATATATATATATATATATATATATATATATATATATACATATATATATATATATATATATATATATATATATATATATATATATATATATATATATATATATATATATATATATATATATATATATATATAATCATTTTATTAAATAAAATTATTAGGAACTATGTAACTGATATAATATTATGAATTTATTAAGGTTCGTATTTCTTATTAACGAGTTTAATGTAATGTAAAAGTTAAAATTCGACACAATTAAGAGTTAAAGAAAATGACCTCTGACGAATTTTATTAGGGTCAGCTTAAAAAGTTTCAGAATTTAAATAAGTTGGAATAAAGTTATGTCTTGGAAAGTTAAAAGTTAAGAAATTAAAACTTAAGAATTATTCCAAAAATGTTTTATACTCTTTTTACTTAAACATTTTAAAAGAAAATTGTTGACCAAAAAAAAATTTTATAAAATATAAATCATAAAAAAAGAAAGTTTTATGATTTATTTTTTATAAAATTAAAAAAAAAATTAAGTGTAAAGAAATTTCTTTAAACTTTTCGTATATTTTTATGTTAAAGTGTATTTAAATTTAATTGTCGTTTATTTAATAAGTATTAAGGTTTAATGTGCAAATTTGGAGTTTATCTTTTAAGAGCAATTAAACTAAACAAAGTTAAACTTTATCAGCTTTTATTAAGATAAGCTCATCGTCATGATTTTAAGATAAGCTCATCGTCATGATTTTTGAAGATTTTTTACTTTATTAGCACAATTCTTTTATTTATGTTTACCTAATTTACTTTTACGAATTATCGAAAAAAAATTCAATTTGAGAAAAATATTACTCAAAATTTTTCGAGTAAAAACTAAAATTATCTTTTATATGTTACAAGTACACTTTTTCTTTTTATTCACAGTAAAATGGACTTCATGTAGATAATCTGTTACTTTTATTTTAGAAAAAGATTCTAAGAAAAACAATAATATGCCTAAATACGTATTAAACTATTTTAATTTCCAAGGCAAGGCTGAGGTAGCTAGACTTTTATTTCATTATAAAGGTGTGGAGTTTGAAAACAACCTAATCACCTACCAAGATTGGCCTTCACTGAGAAGCAATCGTAAGATAATTTACAACTTAATGTGCGTGTGTGTCATTTGTGCGTGTGCAGCCTTTATTGCTTAATTTTTTATATTTTTTTAATCTTCAAAATTTAGACGCAAGATTTCCTTTGGGAGAATTGCCTACATTAGAAATTGATGGGCATGTTGTTTGCCAATCTGGTGTTATAAATTTATATTTGGCAGAAACATTTGGTCTTAACGGAGCAAATGCTTCTGAAAGATTAGTCATAAATCAAGTATGTGAAACTATGAATGATTTTTGGAATGATTATGCTCGCATTTATAGAAACAGTACATTAGACAGTGAGCAAAAGGTAAAATTTTTATTCCTTACTAAAATAAATATTATAAAACTAAATTATAACTTACACTTGGATAAATAATTACACTATTTAACTTTTTCTTTGCCTTTTTAAGAAACAAGCTTATGCAGATATACTTACAAACGAGGCAGCTAAGTTAAAGTTATCTTTTATTGAGAGTTTACTGAAGCGTAATAATGACGGCCATGGTTATTTTGTTGGTGATTCGGTAAGGTTTATAACTTTACATCTTTTTTATTAATTGTTTGATGCTGAGGTTATTATACAGTAATTATGATTACATACAGGATTGTATACTGTTGTTATAATATACAGTAGGTATATTATACTGTTTGTAATATACAATTTTTTTAATATATGCAATAAAAGATAGAAACTATTGTTAAATTGTTTAAATAATAAAATGACCTAACTAAGTTTGTAAAAGTCAATAATATAAAATATAAATTTATTACTAAAGTTTTTACTTGTTTATTTAAGATTACTCTTGGAGATTTGGTATTTTTCCACGTTACAGGAGTGGTCGATGAATCATTTTTAAATGATTATCCTTTGTTAACAGAGCTGAATAATCGAGTTAGACATTGTACTGAACTAAAGTCATATTTGGATTCTAGAACGCATCCCCGATTACCTTAAGTTTTTATAAAATTTTTGAAATCGAATTTTTTTGCCTTGATTTAAATGTATTAGATAGTAAAATAAAAAATTTTCTCAAAAAAAATTCTTTTTCTTTTGTTAAAATCAAATAATTGAGTCAAAATCAATACTCTTTTGTCAAAATCGAAATCTTTGTTCAACCTTATATTCTTTCAAATCTGAATGCCATGTTTAGTGCGTGTATGATGCAGCAGTGGTGTAATTGTAGAACACTCTCTTCACAGGAAAGAAATTCCAAGTTTGATCCCTACCACGTCCCTGGTGGTACCGCGCTCAACTTGTTTCTCCGCGAAGCTACCTTGTTTATAAAAATTCAGTCAGGGTGTTCTGGAGTTAAGTAGTTGAGAGATAACAAATTGTTTTGTGGAATACTTTTTAGCTTGTAACATTAACGAACACGCAATGTCTGTTTTATTTTTTCTAAAATTTGCTTTTAATAAAAAAAAGACCTTGCTATTTATATTATTTTAATCTCAGAGCCGTCAATACCTCAGCGGCTTCCGGACTTTCTAGAAAATCGCCTCTAGGCTAAAAAAAAAGTATGATTAAATTCATCAATCTTTTTTTCTATATTGGTGCCTAACTTTTTTTAACTTTATTTAAGCTAGAATATCACGAGTTCAATCGTATTTTTTTTGACTTTATTTAAGCTAGAATACCTCGGGTCCAATCTTAATTTCTTTGACTTGATTTAAGCTAGAATACCTCGGGTCCAATCTTAATTTCTTTGACTTGATTTAAGCTAGAGTATTATGGGTCCAATCGTAAAGTAAAAAAAAAAAAGTCAAAATAACAATGTTTTGTTTTAAAACAAATTTTAAATAACTGATCAATCAGATTGTGAGTTCCTCTAAAAACAATTTTTAGTTCTGTTGAAGAAATTGAGACTTAACCATGGTTTTTAAGACTATATCAGCTGGAACCTAGATGAAATCTGTATAGTTATTGCTAAAGAAATTAACACTGTGGGGTAGATATTGTTACTTTTTATATATTTCACCAAGATAACTCAAGTGGATTAGCATAAAATACAAAAATCCAAATATCCAAAAGCGCAAGAGAGTTAGAGCTGCGAGAGTTACAAGAGAAGCGTTACAAAAAAGTTCAGCGCATGTTTCATTTGCCTAAATCGTATAATTTTGTAAACATGCGTATGTAGCTAATCTAGCTGGTGCGTTAGCAAACTAACGCAACAATTGTCTGATAAATTTTATCCTTTTCCTTGTTGCCACGGATTTTTAAGTATTCTGCCAAGAATGGTTTGTATTTGGATATATAGATAGAGTTCAGGCGTACCCAAATAACGGCAGACGATTGTAAACTAAAAGAGAGGCTTTTTTATTAATACTTTTTTAATAAACTAATAACCACCAAAAGAAAGTGGCAAGCTGGTGCTCCACACCAGCTTGTCAATTTCTTACGCCACTAAAACATTAACCTGAATTAAATAAATATAGTTCTTCTAGTTTTAAATTTAGTTGGTTTTACATATGGTGCTCAATCGAGTTGTTATCCTTACATTTTTAGTAAACTGAGTCAAAAAAACAATAGTTGAACTGACAGAAGTTTTGTTCTTGTTAGCAAACTCTTCGTTAGACCTAAAGATTTTAAGTGAGGCTGTAAAACTGATCATACTTCCATTTTCACCAGTGATGCGCATCTCTGGTAACTTTAGAGCATTAACCAATTGAGGATGAGGAAGCGACATTGAGGACAAGGAAGCGAGGTCAAGGACGAGAAAGCGAGGTCGAGGACGCGGAGACGAGGACGAGAACAAGAAAGCAAGGGCGAGGACAAGGAAGCGAGAACGAAGGTCAATAGCATGAAGGTTTCCTTTTATAACACAATTTTTCTATTAAAACATTTGAAAAAGATAGACTATTAGGTTCACAGTTCTTTTTTTTTGTTTGTTTCTTTTTTTATGCACAATTAATTGTTTAGAATTCATGCTCGCTTAAGCAGCTCAGTTTTGCTCAAACATTTTGAGCGACATTTTTCTGCAGTTATTTGTAACAAATTGCTCTCCATAAAATCGCTATGGCTACTTTTTTTTTTTAATTTTTTTGTTCTTTTCTTAAATATTCAATAACTTTATACAATAAGATAGTTAAGACAAAAATCATTATACAATAAAAAAATATAACAAAATATACATGTATATACAAATATACACAAAATGTATATAAAAACAAAAACAAAAAAAAGACCGCAGAGGCTCGCCGAAGACCATCAGATCTTATTATCGATAACCGCTCGTGAATATTAAATATATTAAATTAACATAAAAAATAAAGTAAAAAATAAAACGATGCCGTCGTAATAATTAGCGGGAATATAAATTTCGTAGGAATATATAAATTAAATTGGTGTAAAGAAATTCTTAATAATTTTAAAATGCTTTTATATATAAATACAAAAATATTGATATATAATGATGTGAATCAGATATACTATTATATATTACCTTATGTAATAAGCTTCATATTCATTTTCAGAAGAATTTAAAATATAAAAATATGTCAAAAGATAAAATAGTTTCTTTTAGTTTTTTTCTTGAATGAAAGATGATTCTAATGATGGGAAAAATCAGAATTTTTCAAAACTCTTTTGTTCTAAAGCAAAGCTCCTCGAAATGAAATACATGACTTTTCAAAATTAGTTAGAGAGAAAGATTGCCAAATTAGATTATCATTTTTTAAGTTATATTTATTTTTATCTTTTAAGGTATATAGGTTATGAAAAAAAAACAGGAGATGCATTGGTTTTATATTTGTTCATAAAACAAAGTATATTAAAATTATTCAGCTGATAAGTATAAAGAATTTTCATTTGAAATAATAATGATTTGACATAAGTCACTCTGTTTTTATTGGTCAGATGTGACTAAGGCTTTGGAATAAGTGGTTCACCACCTCTAAATATAAGTGAAGCTCCATGGCTGGAATAAAGTCTATGATCAAATTATAATGCGACAACTTAAAATTCAAAGATATTGTTCATATGAGCTCCATTAAGATTCTGGATTGCCTGAGATTTCTGAACATTTAGATTCTGGATTGACTAAGTTTCATTAACATTTATCCTGGGCATTAAGAATAAGGTTGAACATCCCATTCTGGGGATTGCAGAATACCCCCTAGGTCCACTCCTACAAGAGACTTCCAAGATGAAGTTTATGAATAGATTTATGATAATGAACCCGTTCATAAACAACATTTTAAAAGTCCGTTTTATCCTGGGCATTAAGAATAAGGTTGAACATCCTATATATATGGAGTGTTACGCAATTCGTAGGATTCACCAATAATGTTTTAACATTTTATAAATATACCCAAACATGTTTAAACTTGTATTTTAAATTAGTATATTCTTCATTTTCTTTTTGTATTGGCTTCTATTTTTGAAATTCTTGAAGAGAAAAGTTTTTTATTTATAACTGGAGACTTAATTCTGTATGATTGTTACGGAGCTTTGCTTTGTAAGTGTTAATATAGGAAAGTGCTTGGATTTGGTAGCATTAAATACCAATGAGTTCATAATCGTAAATGAAATTTACGATCTTTAAAAAAAAGTTTTTAAATGCACTAAAGTTAACTTTTTCAACTACTTTCGGTTTATTTTAAAAAATTTAAGCTTTATTTAAATAGTTAAAGCTTTTGCGAATAATTAAAAAATATAATGATTATACATTGTATAATTTAAGTATTCAAATAAAAAAACTTTATTGAAATATATTTAAGGATTCATTTTTATATTTAAAAGGAACCAAGAGAATCCTTTTGATCAAATATTCTTGTTTTATGTGCTGTCTACCTGATTGTGTCAAATCCTAAAACAAAGGTAACAGTAAACAAACAAAATATATAAAACATTCTGAAAACTTTGTTTTAAAGGGTTCTCTCGGTTCCGTTTACTTTTAAAATGAACACTGAAGTACGTGTCAAAGCGGTTTTTTGAGCAAAGCGATGGAAAGCTTTTTTTTTTTTTTCTTTGTTTAAATTCCTCATTAAAATAAAACGTGGATTCATTTTTTCTATATATTTCAGCGCCTAAAGACTTATATCTCAGCTAAAAATTACTTTTTCAAATTTTTTTTTTTTTTTGTCAAATTTTTTAAATTATTATGCTGGCTTCTTTCTAGTCAAATCATAAATTCTTGGAACGGTCTTTGCAAGAGCTCAACGCAGATCATCTTCTGCAATAAGTCTACAACTGTATTTAGATGTGATAAATTTCTGATGTAGAAATTTCAAATTATGAATAAAATTCATAAATTTCTGCATAAAAGCATTATTTTCCCTGCTGAGTATATTTTTAAATTTTTGATTCACTTACCTTTTCACTTTTTATATTCCACTACAAAATGCTAACTTAAGAAACCTCAGAATGCTAGATGAATAAAACTTAATTAGAAAAAATAAATGAATGTTTTGCCAACAGTATATCTTACTATATTTTTATTATCGAACCTTTGTTGCTATCCTTCTTTTTATCAAACCTTTAATCAGTTTTCTTTGTTTGCTTTAAAAATTAAAGTGTGTTTACTAAAGTAAAGTGCAAGTAAGAAAGTATACTTTGATATTTCTTTGAAGTTTGATAATTCTTTGAATAAATAAGAAATGCAAAAGTCTTTTAATCTTAGAATTGAATTAATATCAAATCAAATGAAATTTTAAAAGAAATGCCATAGAGATGAAAAATAAGTTTTTAAAGGAAGCAGTTGAGTGGTGTCGAATTAGCAATAAACATGGTTGGGCCCCTATTAATTCAGGAACGTTTCCACAAGTTAAAGATATTAAACTTCCCTTTTTCAATTTGAATTGAGATTCAAATTGAAAAAGGGAAGAGTTACTGTTTAATTTTTACCGAAGACGAGGAAGAGTCACTAGCATTAATATAATAAACAGGAACATGATTGAGAAATACAACTATTTTTTTATAAACTGCTCAAGTTTAAAGGAATAAAATAAGGGTATGGCAGGGAGATAATGATACCACTTGACTTTACAATCATGTAATCATGAAACCCCCCAGTTTAGTTTCTGTTAGGTAAAGGGAAAGTTA